TCTTGCAGAACAAATGCCCTAGAATCATTCTTACCAGGTGAGAGTTGAGGTGTATTCTGTGATGCCTGTCACCAAAGTTAGGTCAGTTCAGTTCAGTTTTGTGTCCGACCCTTTGTGACCCCATGAACTGCAGCACACCAGGCTTCCCTGTCCATCACCAACTTCTGAAGCTTACTCATACTCACGTCCATCGAGTTGGTGATGCCATCCAACCATCTCATCTTCTGTCGTCCCCTTCTCTTACAGCCTTCAATCTTTCCCAGCATCAGGGTCTTTTCAAATGAGTCAGTTCTTTGCATCAGGTGGCCAAAGTATTGGAGTTTCAGCTTCAACATCAGTCCTTCCAATGAATATTCAGGACTGATTTCCTTTAGGATGGACTGGTTGGATCTCTTTGCTGTCCAAGGGACTCTTAAGAGTCTTCTCCAACACCACAGCTCAAAAGCATCAATTCTTCAGTGCTCAGCTCTCTTTATAGTCCAACTCTCCCATCCATACATGACTACTAGAAAAACCACAGCTTTGACTAGACGGACCTTTGTTGGCAAAGTAATGTATGCTGTCTAGGTTGGTCATAGCTTTTCTTCCAAGGAGCAAACCTCTTTTAATTTCATGGCTGCAGTCACCATCTACAGTGATTTTGGAGCCCCCCAAAATAAAGTCTGTCACTGTTTCCATTGTTTCCCCATCTATTTGCCATGAAGTGATGGGACCAGATGCCATGATCTTAGGTTTCTGAATGTTGAGTTTTCACTCTTCTCTTTCACTTTCATCAAGAGGCTCTTTAGTTCTTTACTTTCTGTCATAAAGGTGGTGTCATCTGCATATCTAAGGTTATTGATATTTCTCCCGGCAATCTTGATTCCAGCTTGTGCTTCTCCCAGCCCAGCGTTTCTCATGATGTACTCTGCATATAAGTTAAATAAGCAGGGTGACAATATACAGCCTTAACATACTCCTTTCCTGATTTGGAGCCAGTTTGTTGTTCCATGTCCAGTTCTAACTATTGCTTCCTGACCTGCATACAGGTTTCTCAGGAGGCAGGTCAGGTGGTCTGGTATTCCCATCTCTTTCAGAATTTTCCACAGTTTATTGTGATCCATACAAAGGCTTTGGCATAGTCAGTAAAGCAGAAATAGGTGTTTCTCTGGAACTCTCTTGCTTTTTCGACAATCCAGTGGATGTTGGCAATTTGATCTCTGGTTCCTCTGCCTTTTCTAAATCCAGCTTGAACATCTGGAAGTTCACAGTTCACGTACTGTTGAAGCCTGGCTTGGAGAATTTTGAGCATCACTTTGCTAGTGTGTGAGATGAGTGCAATTGTGCAGTAGTTTGAACATTCTTTGGCATTGTCTTTCTTTGGGATTGGAATGAAAACTGACCTTTTCCACTCCTGTGGCCACTGCTGAGTTTTCCAATTTTTCTGGCATACTGAGTGCAGCACTTTCACAGCATCATCTTTGAAATAGCTAAAGGTAGGTCAATGTATCATAAAAGGCTCCTTTCAATCAGCAAACTGTCCACACCTCCAAGATCTCCCGTTTATATAAAAACTTCTGGCTTCCTGGAGTTTTTTGTTTTGCTTTGTTTTTCAGTTTTATTTATTTATTTTCTTTACAATATTGTATTGGTTTTGCTATACACTGACATGAATCCACCATGAAATTTTTCATTCTAGATAATCCACAAAATTTTTTTATTTGTTTTGTGATGGTTTGGTTTTATTAAGATATAATGTCTCAGATACTTATTTGTCCCTTTCTTGGTGCTGTGACCTAAGTACCTTCTCTCTATGACCTTTGAACAAGTTACCTTACCTTGGTTTATTCCAGATTGTTTTAAGGATCAAATAAGACTTGGAAGAACTTGGCAAAGCACCTAAAAGTAGGTGCTAAATAAACATAAGCTATGACTAATAATGTAAAAACTTAGTTGTGGTCCTAGCATAATAATACTATCGTCACTCCCTCTCCCGGCACTAGACACTTCATTGTTTGCCTGCGTTTTGTCACCCTCTTCCCATTCACTCCATGAAAGCAGGTGCTCACATGCGGGTTCTTGCCCCATCCCCTTTATATCTGGGGCCTCTACAATCTCTCAGGATCTCCCGATGTTATAGGTTACAGGGACACTTTGCCACCAAATCCATCTTTCCCAATGAAGGGACAAATCCCTCCTCTATGACAGTTGAACTCCCAGAAAACAAGTAAAAAACCCTAAGCATGATTTCTTTAAAAAATGTCTTTTCTCTATCAGGTAAACTGCTCTGGCCAGTCACCCCCAGATGCACAATAAGGAAAAAGCCGTATTCTCGCCAGTCTCCAACTTCAGCCTCTGGTTAAGTGACAGATGGGAACATTCCAAATGGCAAAGCATTTACTAAAAGATCAAGCATCTCGAACTTCTGGATTCTCATAAAAACAGTCCCTTGCATAAAACAAGAACAGTGAAACATAGCTTGTGCTGAAGCACCTGCAGGGTGAGCCTGCTTCCTTAATTATAGTAAGCTCCCTACATATGAATGAGTTCCATTCTGAAAGCATGTCCATCAGTCCAGTTTGTGAGTCCAACAGTTAACCTAGGTACCCAACTAACACAATTGGCTATACAGTACCACACTGTAATAGGTTTATAATAACTTTGCACACAAATACATTAGAAAAAACATCTTCAGTCTTACAGTACAGTGCCTTGAAAAGCGCAGTAGTGCCATCCAACAGCTGGCACACAGCACCTGGCATCGAGTGAGCAGAAAAGAAGAGTTACTGACTGGAGAAGCGAGCGGAGGCGGGAGATGATAGACCTGAAGGGTTGTCAGCAGTAGGAGATGGAGAGAAAGCTGCAGTTTCACTCACGCCTGATGATGGCACAGGTTCTCATTCTTGGCTGGACTCAATTCTATCTACCCTCTTATTTAAAAAAATGATCCAGTGACGTCTGGGTAGCAGCTCTTTTTTTCCTGATCATAGATGACACGCTAGCCCTGGATTGCATTCTAAATGACTGCTGCAGCCTTTGCGTACTGTTCTACATTTGGGTCCTGTGCCTCAAACGCTAACAGTGCCGCCTCAAATAAAGAGCGTCCCCTTGCTGTGTCCCACGTCACGCATCTCTTTGGTTCTTCGGTTTCTCCTTCCTCCTCTGGCCTCTCTTTGTCCTCTCTCTGGGCCTCCAGTTCCATCAGGTCTTCATTAGTAAGTTACACGAAGTAAGTGCACCAAAGCGCAACCCCCAGTAGAAGATGCATGCACGTGACAGTGTGCGCCAGACACGTGGACTAATTTACATGGTTAGACACGCAGACACATGCTCCCATCTTTGAAAGTTCACAGCATGAATGTTCCTGTATCGGGGGTTTATGTGCTGGCCTCCAGATCACAGAGGCTGAGTGAAATGCCTTCCTGTCTCCTCTGCTGTCGCCACCCAATACTCAGGGCCCCTTTTGGGACCCCTTCTCCAGAACATGATCCAAGGCCCCTGTCTCCCTTTAATTTTCTGTGCTCTTTCTTGTTAGGAATACAGCAGCCCCGAGTATTAGGTCCATCTTTATGTGGGCATGTACTCTGCCTCAGGAGTAGGTCTGTGATTCTCTGTAGGCAGCAGTATCTGTCTATTTGCAGGGAAAGCCATTACCAATACAAATGGTGTCTTCTGTAAGAGATTCTCCTAAGTGTACTCTGGAAATGCCTATATAAACCATGAAAGAAGTCTGTCTTCCTGTTTACACTTGCTGTTCCGCTCCCAGCTCATGCTTGAATTCTCTCCCTCACCTAGCTTCCTTTCTTCTATGCAGAATCTGACTTTTTGAACTAGAGATTCCAAGCCACAGACTTTTGTTTTCATTGTTTCGTGACTTGTTTCCCATCTAATGCATCCCAGTTCAGCCTTCTCCTTTTCAGTTCCTTCCATTTTCCCCTAGCTCCTACAAATAATGATTCATCTACTGTTTGGCATTGGACCAGTGGTTCTCAGACCTGGCTTCTCTGAGGACCTTTTTAAAAAAAGTGCCCTGGGATGAGGCTTATCCCAAAACAACTGCACTAGAATCTCCAGAGAAGAACTGTGCACCAGAATGTGTTCCAAGCACTCAGCTGAAAATGCCGAGTTAGAAAGGAGTATAAACACAAGGTCATACGCTTCCTCTCCATTTATGCCCCTGGAGTCCCCTCCTCACTAGACCCTTAGCCAGCAGTGTACTGACAGTGACCAACACCGCGACACCTTGTCCATGAAATTCAGGACCAGGCAAGAACGACGGGAGCATTTCTCATAGACCTAAAAAAGGATATGGACCCAAGTCCTCCAGTTAAACGCCGATCTCCAAATTCAGATTAGCATTTACAGCCTACTCTTTCCTGTCCTCTTTGAAGGTCACAGACACAGACACAGACAGGCCGAGGGAAGAAGATGCCAAAGGGCTCAGTATTTAAGGAGGCACCCACTCTCAGGGCCCTTCCTGCACTTACAAGACCCTGGGAGTGAGTGCCTCCTTAACCTTTGCATTCTAGGAGTCTCTCTTTACCTCATTCCAAGTGGAGCTAAAATGAGAGCTTTTCTAAAGGAATGCTGGGAAGAAAGGATGATTGTAATCATCCAGTTCAGTGAAAATTTAATGAGCAAAACTGATACAGCCCCCTGAACATATCCTAGCTTTATGATTTCAGAACTTGAAATGAGAATTATGACCTGACATTAATTCCCAGGGCTGTACCCTCCCCCAAATCCCACTGTCAATATGCAGCTCATGGAAGGTGATGAAGAAGTTTTAATCAGAAAAGCAGCAATTTCTATTTGTGTTAGGAGAAAATGACAGTATATTTTAAATTGAAAGTTGAGTGTGATGATACTTTCTCTAGTAACATACTCAATATCTCTTAATTCAATTCTTCATTCATCATCTCCCCTGTCACAAGGTACAAATGGATTACTGCATGTGGAATGCCTAGTCCAGAGCTGGCACGATTGAGCGCTCAAAGCTGGTAACCATTTTGTCTCATCAGGAGGATAATGGAACTCAGGAAACACTTACCGCTCGAGGTCACCCCATCAGCAATTCCACGTTATTTAAAGACAGAGTCCGGATAGGTGCAGACTACAGGCTCTACCTCTCTCCAGTCCAAATCCACGATGATGGGCGGAAGTTCTCCTGCCGCATTGTGGTCAGGTCTGGCAGAGTCTTGAGGAGCTCCACCACCGTCAAGGTTTTTGGTAAGAGTTTCTGTTCTCCCGAGTCCCTGCCTTGCTCCTGTTATAGTCTCCAGATTCTTCCCCCGCCAGAGATGAAACACTGTTAGATACAGACAGCGGCCACTCAAGGGTTACTGTGCTGGAGTTCGGTTTGTCTTGACACTTGTCATTCATGTTGTGGGTGGGGATGAGGGAAGGAAGCCAAAGAACGATGATTCAGCAGCCGTAGGTCACCAGTCTCCTGGTGACCACTAACCACTACCTTACGTGCATTACTATATGGTTTTCCATATGACCACTACTTTATGGTTTTAACGTCTCCTGAGAACGCTGGAGGTCTCTTTCGTTATAACTGCCAAAATCTAATTGCTTAGTTGTCTGGTTGTATTAGTTGCTGGCTGGAGCAAGGTGGTATTAGGCCAGTGTGAGGAAAGGTAGATGGCAAACAGCTCCAGAGAAACTCTGCAGGAGTCCCCTTGCCCCCGCCAAGGCCAGCTGGGGTGAGAGACTGCCCATCTCCTCCAGCAAAAGACCTGCAGGGCTGGCCCTCTGACCCTGCATTTGCAGGAGAGTGGGGCTTAGCTGAAATATCCACTGTGGCCTCAGCCATACTGCAGAGACTCTGCAGGTTGCAAATTTAAGGGAAATGGGAAAATTCTGTGTTGTTCAGTGATGCAAGGAAATATTAATGAATAGAAACTTGTTGGCTTTAGATATTTTTCATTTTTGTGACCAAGAACTGTGTTTTTCAAAACATCATTTTTCTGTTATTTTTTTGAATTTAATTTTTATTAAAACATCATTTTTAAATGAAGGCCAAGAGGAAAGCAGTGATGTAGATGAGCAATTCATTGTTTTTGAAAATGAGGTAAAAGATAAAATAATTCACAAAACCTAAGAGCATGGACTGGAAAAAAAAACACACAAAAAAAGAGCATGGACTGGTAGATTTTTTTTCTCAGTTAACAGAACGATAGGATAAGTGAAAAATCTTTGCTTTTATCTAGAATCTTATTGAATTATTACTAGCGATCACACAATCCAGTATTTTAAAGGAATTGCAAACCCTTTAGTTCATAAATAAGGAAATAGCTGCAGCCAGAATGTGTTTAGTTTGAAGTCTCTTGCCGATAGCGCCTCCTGTATGTCTTTCTTTGACTCGCACCATCTCCCTCTTGCCTTCCTTCCCTCGCTCCTTCCTTCCCTCCGTCTTTCTCTGTCTCCTCTCTGGGATGGGTTAGGGAAGAATCAATTGCCCCCGTGATCAGGTTCCTTATGGGGCCTAGATAGTGTCCTGTGATGAGTTGGAAAGACTGTTCATCTCTTTGATCGATACCACCATTCTCTCATTTACGGGGTGTGACTGTCTTAGCCCAAACATAAGACCAATTCATCTGGCCTCCCTATTAGCAAATTGATGTAGGCAGTGATCCAGGATGTGAAAAGAAATAATTCTGTGTTAGGCGAACTGTGTCCCATTTGACCAAGGGTTTTTGTACCACAACTTGATCTAATTGCCCTGTCAACATTTAAACCATGTCCTGTATCTCTTTGCTGCATTAAAGTATCTTCATCTTGGTCTAGAGTGCTTCCACTCTTTTCCGTCTCATCCTCATGCCCCGCTACATCTCTCGGCCTCTATATTTTTGTTTGCTTCTTCTTTGAACTCCTTTCAGTGCATGCTTAAAAATACAAGACACTGCCTACTTGTTCAAATAACTAGGCTTTTCTGCTTTCTGATTTTCTCCTTTAGCAAATGGGCCAGATTGTATTTGGACGGTCTTATCCAATCTTTAATCTATTTGGGGTGTCACCTGAGTGTATATCATAGTGATCCTGGCACAGAGTTATACTGCATATCTTATTCAGGACCCACTCTGCATCCCCAGGTGATTCCTCAAATAGAATGAAAACCTTGAAATAAATACTCATATGTGTCACTGAGCCATTCTACATGCCCTTCATCCAGTTTATTTCTTCTTCCTGAACACCTTTGTCCTCTACCAGACCATAAACCGGAAGCTTCCCCCTGCCACTTCCCGGATCCCCCGCACTAGTCTCCTAGGACTTGACTTTCCTTATGGGGAGTCCCCTGCCGTCACAAGTTCGTTCTCCGTGATTCCCCCCAAATAATCTGTCTCTATCTATCACCCCTGCAACTTTTGGTATACTTGTTCCTGCTTTCAGGCCCTTCATTCTACCAGCATTTATTGCTGATAAGAGGTCAGAAAAAGGCCTCCTCCCGTTACTATTGTGTCTTGGTTTGGGTTCTCCTGAAAGAAAACTCTGAGACAAGAGTTTGCATTAATTTATTTGAGAGATAATCCTAGGAAATATAGGAGTGGGAAAAATATGTCAAGGAAGAGAAGGAAGATAATAAAATGTACATGATCAAGCCAGTTAGCGATGTGGGCTTAGAGCTCACTCACACTGGGAAATTGTGGAAGAACATGCATCAGAGTTACCCGTGACAAAGGCGAGGAAGCTGGGGCATTATCCACAGCTCCCCACCTGTTACCACCATTAACCCTCTGGGACTTCCAGTCTGCCCTGTTTGTGGACTGAGTGTGTGTCCACAACCCCAGTGAATCTTCGGGAGAGAGTCACAGGTGTGCCCAGCAAGGCTGCGTGGAAGCAGCCAAGGCTAAGTAGATGCAGCAGACACTGATGGTACCTGTGACAAGGGCCTTAATATTTTATCCCCTGGTTCATAGGGGGCTTTGTCTGTTATACTCAACTTAGCTTGAGGCTACTTCAGTTCAGCATGATGTTCTCAATGTCTGTTTTATGCTGGGCATTATCAATGCTAGAGACAGAGAGATGAATAGAGCATTCTGGCTTTAAGAACTTACAGTTTAGCAGGACAACAAAGTCACTGAAATAGTCCCTGATCTTTTCTGATGCCAAGCGACTAAATAAGGACCAGGTGCTTTTCCAGCTCCCTGCAGGGGCCTTAACTTATGCTTTCTGATCTTTTCTGATGCCAAGCGACTAAATAAGGACCAGGTGCTTTTCCAGCTCCCTGCAGGGGCCTTAACTTACGCTTTATTTCTAGGCCTGTGGGCACATAAACTGTTCCTCTCTTCTCTCTGCCCGCTGCTGTCCCCTCCCCTCCCTCACGTTTCTACTTTCACCTGCTCCTCCTGTTGCTGCTTACTTGCTAAGTTATGCCCAACCGTTTTGCAACCCCATGGACTGCAGCCTACCAGGTTCCTCTGTCTGTGGGATTTCCCAGGCAAGAATACTGGAGTGCATTGCCATTTCCTTCTCCAGAAAGTCTTCCTGACTCAGGGATCAAACCCTCATCTCCTGCTTCAGCAGGTGGATTCTTTACCACTAAGCCACCTGGGAAGGCCCTTTTCACCTGACTCACCCATAATCATCTTTACAGCATCAGCTGTCCCCACTTCCAAAAGCCTCCTCTTATTCCCCAAGGTTGGCTTAGAAAGCTTCTCCTAAAAGCTTTCTTCAAATCCTACGTGTCCCTAATAACAGTTCTTATATCAATTCTAATTTCTAGTTTTTGTATGTGTGTTTTCCATGTAAATGTAAATTTCTCAAGGATGATGAATATGATGTGTCCACCTTTGTTTCCTTGGCATCTAATATACTGCCGGAACACAGCAGGAGTTTAATAAATATCTGATGAGTTATGAATTTTTCACACGTGTGCACATGCACGCACATGCGCGCATGCGCACACACACACACACACACACACACACACTAGTGACCAGGCAGGGTATCATTCAAGACCACTAGCTAACTGTTTTATTTGCCTTTAAGCTGAGCCGGAAATCCCCGTGATTGTGGAAAATAATTCCATGGATGTCACTGGAGAGGTGAGTCACATTAAAGCCTTTGAAAATTGACAGTATAATATGTCAAGGTGTGTTCATTTGCCTCATTCTCAGAATATTTTCTCAAAGGACCTTAATCCAATTAATTTCTGATAGGAATAAAGGTAAGCTGATTCATCAAGGCTGTATATTGTCACCCTGATTATTTAACTTATATCCAGAGTATCATGAGAAATGTTGGGCTGGAAGAAGCACAAGCTGGAATCAAGCTTGCCAGGAGAAATATCAATAACCTCAGATATGCAGATGACACCACCCATATGGCAGAAAGTGAAGAAGATCTAAAGAGCCTCTTGATGAAAGTGAAAGAGGAGAGTGAAAAAGTTGGCTTAAAGCTCAACATTCAGTGCTCGCTTCGGCAGCACATATACTAAAGAGCTCAACATTCAGAAAACTAAGATCACGGCATCTGGTCCCATCACTTCATGGCAAATAGATGGGGAAACAGTGGAAACAGTGACAGGCTTTATTTTTGGGGGCCTCCAAAATCACTGCAGATGGTGACTGCAGCCATGAAATTAAAAGACGTTTACTCCTTGGAAGGAAAGTTATGACCAAGCTAAATAGCATATTAAAAGGCAGAGACATTACTTTGCAAACAAAGGTCCTAGTCAAGGCTATGGTTTTTCCAGTGGTCATGTATAGATGTGAGAGTTGGACTATAAAGAAAGCTGAATGCTGAAGAATTGATGCTTTTGAACCGTGGCGTTGGAGAAGACTCCTGAGAGTCCCTTGGACTGCAAGGAGATCCAACCAGTCCATCCTAAAGGAAATCAGTCCTGAATATTCATTGGAAGGACTGATGCTGAAGCTGAAACTCCAGTACTTTGGCCACCTGATATGAAGAACTGACTCATTTGAAAAGACCCTGATGCTGGGAAAGATTGAGGGCAGGAAGAGAAGGGGACGACAGAGGATGGGATAGGAGGATGGCATCACTGACTCAATGGACATGAGTTTGGGTAAACTCCAGGAGTTGGTAATGGACAGGGAGGCCTGGCGTGCTGCAGTTCATGGGGTCACAAAGAGTCGGACACAATTGAGCGACTGAACTGAACTGAAGTTGATTCTAGAAACCAAAGTTCAATTCAGTTCAGTCGCTCAGTCGTGTCCGACTCTTTGTGACCCCATGAATCACAGCACTCCAGACCTCCCTGTCCATCACAAACTCCCGGAGTTTACTCATACTCATGCCCATTGAGTCGGTGATGCCATCCAGCCATCTCATCCTCTGTCGTCCCCTTCTCCTCCTGCCCCCAATCCCTCCCAGCATCAGGGTCTTTTCCAATGAGTCAGCTCTTCGCATGAGATGGTCAAAGTATTGGAGTTTCAGCTTCAGCATCAGTCCTTCCAATGAACACCCAGGACTTATCTCCTTCAGGATGGACTGGTTGGATCTCCTTGCAGTCCAAATAACTCTAGAAAGAATGAAGGGATGGAGCCAAAGCAAAAACAATACCCAGTTGTGGATGGGACTGGTGATAGAAGCAAGGTCCGATGCTGTAAAGAGCAATATTGCATAGGAACCTGGAATGTTAGGTCCATGAATCAAGGCAAATTGGAAGTGGTCAAACAGGAGATGACAAGAGTCAACATCAACTTTCTAGGAATCAGTGAACTAAGATGGACTGGAATGGGTGAATTTAACTCAGATGACCATTATATCTACTACTGTGGGCAGGAATCCCTTAGAAGAAATGGAGTAGCCATCATAGTCAACAAAAGGGTCTGAAATGCAGTACTTGGATGCAATCTCAAAAATGACAGAATGATCTCTTCGTGTCCAAGGCAAACCATTCAATATCATGGTAATCCAAGCCTGTGCCCCAACCAGTAACGCTGAAGAAACCAAAAGGGAATCCTTATTGTCTGCCTTTGGGCTGTCAGAACGTATGATCTTGTGATCCTTAGTCCTTAAATTTCCTGGAAAAATTGTATCAGTTGTTTAAATTTCTGTTGACTAAAAATTGAAGTAGATAGTGAAGGAAAAGTAGGGTGGAAAGCAGTGTGAATGCTGGTGTAAGAATGAGGTCTTGCTCGGCTGACATTTAATTTGTTCTAATTCATTTCCTATACCAGCTTTCCTGGTGTTTTTAAGTGACAAGAGGAAATGTGCCCATCTGAACTTTTTCAGAATTCTGGCTATTTCTCAGGCAATATAGGAAGGGCAGCAGGAAAAGGAAATTGGAATCTGACTTTACTTTCTTGTAGGTAGTTCCCAGCCTCTCAGCTCTTCCTCCTGTCAGCTGTGAACTTGTGCTAATTAACTATTACATCTTTGTAGTCAGGTTTCCCGTCTATATGAAGGGGATGAGGAGAGTTTATGCATATTGTTGTTGCTTTAAGATGGCTTCCCAGGTGGCATTAGTGGTAAAGAAGCTGACTGTTATTGCAGGAGATGCAGGAGACGTGGGTTGGACCCCTGGGTCGGGAAGGTCCCCTGGAGGCGGGCGTGGCAGCCCCCTCCAGCGTTCTTGCCTGGAGAAGCCCATGGACAGAGGAGCCTGGTGGGCTGCAGTCCACGGGGCCGCACAGAGTCAGACACGACTGACGTGTCTCAGCAGCATGTTTTTAAGAATTGAACAAAATAATGTGTGTAAAGTTCTTAGTTCATTGTTTGATATAAAGTGCTTAGGAAGCATTTTCGTTGACTATTATGTTTGGTTACTCAGCTGTCTTGTGGCATTATGACTTCATTCAAACTTTTCAAAACCCCAAGTAAAATGAATATTCTCCATTAATTTTCAAACATGTCCTGTTAAATAGGATTGGAGAAAATTATACTCCTGGTTTCTTCTAGCCCCAAGAACATTAAATAACTTATGATATCTTGTCATATTTTCACTGATATCAATCATGTAATTTGACACTGCATACAAATCATAACTCAGGCTCTGTGGTATGATTTTAGATGAGTGTATTATCCAAGCCTTTGTATCTTTTGTTGATTTTATGGATGGATCTCTTAGATTGTTATTGTAATCCTGAGTACATAGAAAAGGTTTCCATTTTTTTGGTTCTGCCACAATTAATTTTCAAGTACTTCACTTCAGTAGTTTAAATAAAAGACATAATCTCATGATATAATGTTTTGTAGGTGTTTTTGTTTCTTATGAGGATTTTTCTGTAGTTTCTTGGGCCAATGTTTACAGGTAATGTGGACTCAGTCCATGTATTGTTCTAATTCATTTCCTACACCAACTTTCCCAACTTTCCAATCACAAGATTGGATCCAAGAATTTCAGTTTTTAAGAAAAGGACTTTGTCTTATGTGTCATCAGATTTTCTCTTCTGTACCCATAGTTCTCTGGGTACTAACTAGAAAAACCAGAGAATGTTTCTTCCTGGGGAATTAGTGAATAATCTCTCACAACTCCACATAATCAGCTGCAGGACACAGCTTGTCTATGGATCTTTTAAGACTTTGCCAAACATTAGTAATTTCCCACTCTGATATTCTTATAATCCCCATTGTATTTTAAAAAGCATATTAACTCTTCAAAGTCCTTTCACATACTTTTACCATGTGATACTCCCAATAAGCCTCTGAAATAGGTAGAGATATGTCAAATTACAGATGAGAAACTGGGACCTGGAGAGTCTAAACCGCTGGCTAAGCCACTAACAAAAGGCAGAGCTAGGATGAGGATTTAGCATGCCCATGCCCAGGCAGGACCGCATAGCAAGGAGATCATGCTTCAGGGGCAAACAGAGAGGAGGTCAAACCCTGATTCGACCACTTACCAGCAAGAGAGCCTCATCAAGCAGTTAAGCTCTATGTACCTCAACTAACTCACTTCTAAAGCTAGGACCATAATAAATATTATGCTGGGTCCTTAGGTACATTAGATTTATCCATAGTAATGAGTAAATAGCACAATGTCTCAGAAATGTCTTTTTTCCTTGCCACTATTTATCATGTACTCACTCCTTTCACTTATTCTTTCCTCTGCATGTATATTCATAAATCTACTGTGTGACTGATTCTCAGAGACAGTGGGGAATAATGAAATGGCAGAATATAGATTGTGGAATTTGATAGATCTTGGTCTGAATTCTCCTTCATCACTATTAATTCCGGGCCTTAGACCTCACATTCTGAGGCTCCTCATCAGTGAAGAGGGACAATTATCCCAACCTGACAATGGTGACCTGAGGACCAAATGAGAGAACCACACGCAGCCTCTGCCATCTGGCAACCACAGCGCTCAAGCAATGGTAATTTCTATCCCCATTCCTTCATCTCTTAGAGATTATCATGCACCTGTGGAATGCCTTACTAGGTACTGCACATTCACGACACCAGCAGCCCTGTGTTAGAGCAACAGGGATTTGAACTGTGTCTTCCAGTGTCACCAGTTAAAGTTACCAAGTGTATGGTTAATTTAGTTTTCCTGTAGAAGAGAAAAGTCCCCTGATTAGTCTAACACTGAAGCCTTTCAGGCTGAGACATGCTAGAGAGTGACAGTGAGATTGTCACATCCCCTGTGGATGTCGTGTTTCCAAGGGCTCGGCTTCACCAGGGCCCCCAACAGGGCACACAGCCTTGCCGCCACAGCTCCGTGGAAAGAAGGGGAGTCTTTAGCCTAAACTTCAACACGTCCTCCCACCCACCCCCCACGCATGTAAGCAGAGTTTTGCTCTGAAGCAAAAGATACTGGGCCGAAGAGCCTGCCAACACAGCCCGCAGCCCTCTATATCCACTCTGATAATGCAGCAAGAGAAGACACAGGAGAGAGATAGGAAAACTCTAGTTCACTCAATAGGGCAGTCTTTCCGCGATGCCTCTTTCCATGTGGGTCTTTTTTCTGCCTGTGCTTTTACGTGATCATCTCCATGGGGTCCTCTCCTTCTCATTCTCTATTATGTTTCATAAAATTTAAGGAAAAAACTAGAAAACAAACAAAAAACTACTTCACATGAAACAGGAAGCAAAAGCAAATGGGATTAAAATGCCTAAAAAGGGAAGAGAGGTTAAAATA